GTGCAAAAGAACTATAAAGACCAATAGGTATCACTTTACAAAAAGACCTCATTAGTTAACCTTAGTTAATGCATTAACATTCACAATGAGCACCGTGATATATCGCATTACCAAATACCGGCACAAGTCTAATTATACATAGTGAATATATATATATAACGCTATCCTAAAATACATACAATACGGTCAAGTATTCTCTGATGATGTAAATATAATGGATTCTTTAAAAACATGATCACACATCTACACCAAATATAGAGTATGTGCAAGATTCCAAAGAATGACACATTCTCACTGGGATATTTATTTATTTTAATTTTTTTCTTATTGTTGCAATGTGAACGGGGACATTCCAACCTACAACATCTTCAGCCCCGTTTCAGGCAATTGATCATTTGCTTTGCATGTTTTTGAGCCACTGAAACTCTTCTGTTAACAAACTACCAACTTGATAGATGCTGAGAGGAATGATTAAGGACAATCTAGCTGATACCGTATTTGAAATATATTGCCTTCAGTCACATTCCAACATTTCATTCCAATCACTGTGTATTTCATTCACTGAGTTCCAGTGTTTTAGCAATTTTCTCCTTCGGTGTGATTTTAAACCATAGATTTCTATGTCTAAAGAGTTATTACAGAAATATGTAGTCATTTTCAGTCTGTTTGATTGAATGACATCTGAATAATCAGGTTCAGCTAAAGCTCACTGCAAATAAGAATTCTCCTCAATGATGCAACTCTATCTCATTTCTGGTGGTTTGTAATGAACATTTCAATAACATCTATTAGCACTGTGGTAGGGGGAGAAAAAAACATCCCAGAAAAATGTAACAGCAGTTTTCTTCTTTCCACGACTTGCTTGATGAACAGGCTGCCAGCAATTTTGTTTTGAAAATTGTTTCGGTCACTAATAGGTTTCAGAAAAGTATTTCTCAGAATGTATCAGCTGTAATACATGCCAACAGCAACAGAGCAGAACAATGGTTCTTTATGTATATTATTATCGTCTGTATGCAAAGGTCTAAATGTATTTGTAACAAAAAACAAATGTACTAGACCATTTTTGTCATGATTTGTCAAATTTCACAAATACTAGTATCTACTGTGTATCAATATGTAGTTATAAAACTTCAAGAGTATTCAAGAGTAGCAATGTTTTATTGTATATTTGTGTATAACAACTGCCATAAAAACATGAGGATTCCTGGAGAAATGTCTTCCGGGGTGTGAGAAAGCTCATCTGAAGCTTAAACTAACTGAATGAAGGAGAGGTAGACACATCATTGATTTTGTCCTCTCAACTGCCATATAAAAACAGATTCTACTCAGCATGCGTGTGAGTGAAATGTTGAAAACAACTCATTTCTGTTCTTTTTCTCAGAGACGAGATGCAATGTAATTCTTTTTTCATCTTGAAGAAAAAATACTGGAAATGTTGAGAAGACAGTTGCAAGTTATTAAGCTTAAATAAAGAAAGACTTGAACATTTCTTGCATTGTTTTTAATAAACTATTTTAAGTATGTGGGGAAAAAGCCACCTTTCTTTAGTCCCACTCAGCCCATTCCTGATTAGCCAATCACTGAAGACTTGTGACAGTTAGTGGGAGGATCTCCTGAATAAAGGGAGGAGAATTCAATTAGCCAAGCATCCAGTGTGTGAGAAAACATGAACAAGGCAATCCATGTCCATGGACAAAGAATCCATCCCATCTATCTATTTTCCAACGCTGACCCGGTCCTGGATAAGTGACGTTTGCTAACAAGTGGCTAAATGGGTCTACAGAAGTTGTTGGGGGCATTAAATGCCAACACACCAAACAGGAAACCTACATCCTGTTCAGGCCAGAGAGGAATCATTTCTCAAGAACTCAATTATTTATATCAATTTCAGTATGCAAGTGCATTTTATTCAAACCTGGTTTTAGTCTCTCAATATATTTATAGACATCAGTGTTCAATTTATCAGAGGATGTAGATGACACCGAAATGTACAAAATGGATGTCCAAAAAAAACAGAATTGTACATTTAAGGCATTTTATATTGTGAAAAGTGCTGTTCTAAAGTAAACACTGCATATCAAGATGAAATATTTGCACGTGTTTCATGGTAGAGTCCAGAGTACACAGTCCAGAGATATTTCAAGTCCAAATATATATATATATATATATATATATAAAAAAGGCTAAAATAAATAACCCTGAAAAAGTGTTTATCAATTTATACTAAATATAGACTTCAGCATCCAAATGGACCATTGCACCTAGAAATTACTCAGCTGAGCTTCTGTAGTACCATGTTAGATGTCACATTCTGGAATATCAATTTTATACAGTTTTCTAGAATATAAAGTCGCTTATATGTAATTCCCAAATGATCAGGATATTTGATAAATGCGAAATGTTTTGAGATTCATAAATCTCAATAGTGTCATTTAGCATCTGCTTTTCATCGAGTCTATACATCCTAACGTATCTAGAACATCATCACACAAACCGTTTACAAAGTTCATTAAATAAATAATAAAAAAGATCAATGAAATCAATACAAGCATTTTACAGACCATAGTTTGAAACCGAAAGAGACTCCAGTGTAATAAAGTTATGCATATGCATGTAAGACAAAGAGTGGATGTTGCTGAATTGTTGTCAATTGTTGCTATTATTATTATTAAGTAAAAAAATTAAAATAAATAAATCACCAAGCCAAACCTCATAGAACAAAAGTCTTTGGTATTGCGTTTAAGACACGGACACATTTTCTTGACATTTTAAGACTGAAGCATCAAAACAAAGAACTAGAGCACTTGATGAGATCAGAACAGGTAAACAAGGTGCAAAATAAAATTAAAAACATTTTACACCTATAAGACTTTGCATGTGCATTCGTGGGACAAAATGTCCATTATTTTCAAAAAAAAATATCAGATGGTAAATAGTCAAAGTGAATCTTCTCGTAATTAAAGCAACACTACATTATTAAACTTAAGTCTCAAAGTGCTAAAGCTTAAGATATTTTTGAAAGGCATCTATCTGTTTCTGCCAATCATTACGAAAACAGTGTTTCCATCACTCATTCTATTTAAATCTCAATGAATATTCATAAGAAAAACATAAAACTAGCCAAATAGCTTAACCAGTGACTTACACCATAACTTAAACTGTTAACAATCTGTGGTCCTTGTACTTTTGTGTCCATTCCTTTTTCCTTTTTTAAACCAGAAATGAAATACAGATCTTTAATGGTTTTAACACATGCAGATACAAGCTCATCCTCCTTACACAAAATTCTTAGTTCATTGAAAATCATAGAAATGATAAGTCATTAAAATTCTAGCATGTTTTGCAGTTAATATACAGACGCAAAAAGCATGAATTTACTGGGGACTGTGTACTGCTTTCATTGAGAAATGTTTGGCGTCAATGCACCGACTCGTAAGGAATTTATATTTTTATAATTATACAGCTATAGTTTCTCAAAATATCTCTTATATTTTGCATGCCTGAAAACATGTACGAAACATTAATTGCACGTATATTTCTTTGCAATTAATTCGATGTTTCTGTAGCAGGAGCAAAAATATTTTATATATTTATGTTTATTTATATATTTTGTTTATATAAATAAAAATGTGTTCAAAATGTATTCATATTTATTATTTAACCATTTCTAAAAAAAAAAATACAAAATACCTCTACACAATCTCACGTGATCTATAAAATAAACATGCATATCTGTCCTTTGGGAATCCTTTTTTTCTTGTCATGGTTAAAAACAAATAATGAATAGATGGAATAATGGAGTAATGGTTTTAATTTGATCCTGGTAGCAATTTAGGCAGTTGCTATGCGTACCTTCAGATAATTTGTTTTTGTCCTCAAAATGGAAAAACGCATAAACCATTATAAATAAAAATGTATTCAAAATGTATTCATATTTATTATTTAACCATTTCTAAAAAAAAATACAAAATACCTCTACACAATCTCACGTGATCTATAAAATAAACATGCATATCTGTCCTTTGGGAATCCTTTTTTTCTTGTCATGGTTAAAAAACAAATAATGAATAGATGGAATAATGGAGTAATGATTTTAATTTGATCCTGGTAGCAATTTAGGCAGTTGCTATGCGTACCTTCAGATAATTTGTTTTTGTCCTCAAAATGGAAAAACGCATAAACCATTCATCACATTTTCATGGGCCTCAGTTTTAAATTTTTTTCATCACACTTTGTTCCAATCGAAAACACACTAAAATCAAACAAAAGTGTTTTGGTCTGCATACTTTTTATCCATTTTATTGGAAAAATGAGAATTCAATGAAGAAAATTCAGCTTGAAAAAAATGAGTTTACAGCTTAAATATTTGATTTGCATGTGCACTAAATGACCATTTATTTTACGTCATAATGAAAATTAAGTGCAAATTAACTTTCTAAAGGAATACATGAAATGGTGTATGTACAGTTTATAATTTGAATTGTGTCTAAGTGTATTATGTTCCTTGGTAAGTCTTTGATAATCAGAATACATTTGCATAAAAAAAAATTAATAATAATTATGTGATCCGAGGAGCATTTCAGCAAAGATTCAGATGTAAAACAGTGTTAGAGATAATTACAATAATTAGTCTAACTGAACGTTACAAATGATGTTTTGGAATATATTTTAGAAACTAACCCTCTTATTATTAAATTATTAAAGAAGTCAGAATCCAGCTACTAATTCACTGTCCACAATGTGAGTAAAACATTAAAGCTGTAACCTCATTTTTATACATAAAAAAAACTAAAAGTTGAATTCTTCTTTTCCGTTTTTAAACAAAGCAAAAAATTAGGTGTTTGAATTTGAGATTTTCTACACCAAATTGACAGAGGGTATTCAGACCAAGAAGTATGTACTGTATTTTTCATTTTGGTTTTATTGTTTCTATTGATGCATTACAACAAAGTGTGATGAACAAAAATAAAAATGTAAAGGTACACACACCTCTGTGCATCTTTTTATAAAATATATATTTTTTTTTATTATTTATTTACATTACAATTAGCTTAAGTTCAATCTCAAAGGCAATAAACAAATAGACAGATGCTGGGATACGAGTTTGTTGAAAGCAGTAAGCATTATGAAATGGTACCAACAAGAGCAAGCATGCTAGTTGTAAGATTACAGCAAAACTGTGAATGAAATGCAACTTTATTTTGATCAGTGCAATTCAAATGTGCTTTTTTGTGATCAGTATACTTCTACATGTATATCCATCAAAGTTATGAAGATTGCTGAAAGTTTGGTCAAGTAAAGTGCTCAGTGTCAGTTTTTTTCTCTATGTATTGAACTTTAATGACCATAACAACTAATTAAACTAAAATTATATGATCTTAAAAGATTGAAATACTGCAATAATGAAATTAATCCATGAAATTATCTAAATGTGGGTGCTTTGGTCTTCTTTTTTCTGATTTCTTGTATTATCCATTCAGAAAGCTACATAGTCCATCATCAAATATTTGGTGCAATTATTCATATTAGTGTTGAAAACGTGACTTCACTCTGTCTATGTGCCATTGTGAGAGAAAGCGTGACTTGGACACAAAACTCATTTCCACGTACCTGCCTTATAATTCTAGTTTGTCCACGTAGTACACAGGAACTGCACAATCACATGAAACTAAACATGTTCGTCCGCTGCTTCTACATGAGTCCACAGCATGGCTCTTTCGTATTAGTTGTGTCTTCTTCTGGTGCTCTCAGCCTCAGCAGAGGTGGATCTCCACTAGCTTGGGTAAAGTACACTGCACTGGGGGACACATCCTGTTGTTCTGATTCAGGGGGCTCCAGCGGTCCCTGGGGTCCTTCAGGAACGACCTCATCCTGAGGGTCTGCAGACAGGGGTATAGGAGGTGCTGGATGTTTCTGCAGTTTAGCTGCTGCTCTCTGGCGTTTGAGATCTGCAAGCGTGTGGTGAGATCTCTCTCTGCTCATGTTGTCCCCGACAGCAGCAGCCGAAGCTGGAGTGAGCTGATAGGAGGCGCTGCGATCCATGCGGCCCCCGCCCTGGAGTTCTCCTGGAAGTGAGGAAGAAAACGAAGCCGTGCTGCCGTTCCCCAAAACTTGAGCTCCATTTTCCACCTCGCCGACCTCTAATGGAGGAACAGGGGTTGCATTAGAGCCAGACACCTAAACCAAAGAAGGGACAAGAAAGTACAAGAAAATTCAGCAAGGATGACCAAGTCACATCTGTACATATAAGACACAAAAACATGATTGAAGCTCTCAACAACACAAAATTAAGTGTGTGCTTTACACGGTCATTCTACTCTTTGCAAAACCATTAAACTCAATATAGCCACAAGCAGCAATTTTCAGCAGTTGGAAAATGGAAAATATCAAAAACTGATTGTGTACATTAAAAAACAAAAGATGCTTTTGATTGTGTGTATACTGTAGTTGTGTTTCTGCCAACACACTGTACACATAGGGCTATACCCCCCTAGCAATGGAAATTTATGAAATTTGGCACATTTCCTCAGAATTGACTTTTGTCCATTTGCACCAAGCTTAGTGAAGTTTGAACATTGTGTTCATAAGATATAAGCTAATTCGTCATTATGGGCCACATGCACAAATATTTGGGCCCACATTGGCTAAATTATTAAATGGATCAAAACTCTTCTGATAAGCTTTTGCTGGATGTATGTCTACGTAATACACAGCAATGATATAATAAATCAATCTACATAATAAATCAATGATGCATTCCGAAGTAAGCCAAGCCGAGGATAAATTCAAGTTTATAAAAATGGAAACATACAAATGGAAACTTAAATCCATATAACCATGGGATATCTATCTATGAGATATCAAAAATATTGTAAACAGGAGAAGGTTTTGGAGTTGTTAGAAAAAATAAATTTATTTTAGAGCCACCTAATGTTGGGTAGTAGTAGTAGTATATTTTTATTTAATCCCATGTCAGCATCTTAGGCTATTTTCATGGCAAAAACAATTTAAAAAACACAAGTATAACAAATACAATAAAAACCAGCAAACAAAAAAGCACAAGTTATATTACACAAGATTTTTTACATTAACATGATAAAAATTCTAAAACGTTTTCTGGCAAAATTATACTAAATAACTCTTTCAGTTCACTTTATAAAAGAGTTTTCTACATGCATTAAAAGCAGGACAGTCCAATAAAATATGTTTGACAGAAAGAGGAATCTTGCAGAAGCCTAATGTTGGGTAGACGTGTCTACGTATGCAAGTTTTGGGTGGCATATGGGACAATCTTGGTTGAATAGAACCAAGTTCAGAGGTTCACATTTTTAGGGCAGGAAAACAAAGAAGAAAAAGAGCAAAACAAACACAATAAACCCTATCCGCCAATATTTTTAAACTACAATATCCCTACTCTTATTAGAGAAGCTGAGTATCTTCATTTATTTAAATCTTTTCTTAAAGTCCTCATGAAATCAAAACAGACTTTTTTACTTAGCGCACATTGCTAGTCTTGAGGTAAACTATTAATAAGTGCAAGATAATAAACTGAAAAAAAAATAGTTTGTCTTGGTAATCTTTAATCAAAATCTATACATTTGCTTCCGCTCTGGAATGGCATTCCTTCTCTGATGACGTCAGTTTGACAGCTCTGGGGCAGAGTATCCTTAAACACGCCCCTCCAACCGTTAGGTTGCTATGAGTGAGAGACAGAGAGGAGGAGCACTAAAATAAAACCCCACCCTCTATTCAAAATTCTGTTTAAGTTAGAACGGTCACACTGAAATAAAGTCGGCAGCAACTTCCGGATCACACAGACTTTTAAGCCCCGTTCACACCAAGCACAATAACTATAAATATAACGATAAAGATATCGTTCTAAAAATCATTCTCAATATTAAAGAATAGCAGTCTCCACACCACAACTATAACGATAAAGGCACAGAGAAACGATTTCGTTGGAATCGCTTTCAGAACGTTTTTTTCCAGCTGATGAACGATACAAACATTGACAGCCAATCAGAATCCATCCTGCTATAACGAGCTCGAGAATTTAAAGCAGCAGATGCACGTGCACTTAGAATAAACAGACGATATCGTTCGCTGGTGTGAACGCTAATATCGTTATCTTTATAGTTATCGTTCTTGGTGTGAACAGGGCTTAAGACCTATTTTTTAGGATAGACTTTACTTGCTTTTAATCTTTTTCGATGCATGTTTACATTTGTTTTAATGTTCTTCTGTTTTGTGTGTAAGCACCTTGAGAAGTTTGCTATAAAGCTGGTATATAAAATGCAATTTATTATTATTACTAGTATTATTCTGCTGACTGGTGTCACTGGCAATGCAGAAAGTGCACACCACAGCTTTAATGTAAGATTTTTAAAAATGGGAAAATATTTAATTTGTGTTTCCAATCTGTCATATTTCAGAAGGTTTCAAACACTGAATGGAGATTAAATGTTTTCAAGCCAATTCCTCACCAGTGCAGCGTGCAGGTTCAGTTCAGCATCAGTCTGTCTGTCTTCATCATCATCCAGGGCATCTGTCTGTCTTCCTCTCTCCTGCCACACTTTGGCTTCCTTCTGATGCTCTCTGCGGTACAGACTGCTGCGCTCGTTCACACTGGTGTGCCTCACTACTTTACTGTAAACGCAAACCACACAAAGAAGAGAGGTCAGACACCATTTTTTAATATTATTACAGTTAATTGTATATTAAGATCACAATTACCATGATTACTGCAAGTGAGCAAAGCACTGATCTCTAGCACTGTATTTTTGACCAAACATGTTTCAATATATTCACAAAGCTATCAAAAAAAAAGTTGCTTTGTGAGTGTTTCATAATAGATGCTGGCCGTGTTAATATGTACATTGGTCAAAGATGAGACGTCCCATGAAATAAACCTCCTAAAAATAAAATTAAACAGGACACATTATATATGTATTGTTTTAGCCCCAGATGCTCAAAGCAAAAGAAACAATCACTCTGACAGAGGAACTGTTCACTCATGTGGTCACCTTCAGATTGCTGTTTCAATAGATTTGGAATTTTTACATTTCTCATGTATTCTGGTGTGTATCATCATTCTGAAGTAACTATTTACAGTCAAGCCATGGTGGCATGTATAGTAGTCTTTCGGAATCTTTGCCATCCCCACTTACTTTTATAAAAAAAAATCTCAAAACAAATGTAATTTTGTACCTTATAGTTTGTGCTGTTGCACTGTATACATACATTTTGAATTCGGAGAATTTAAAAGTATTTTTTACAATGGAAAATCATGTTCTGGAATGTTTTTCATGTGTGCTTTTCTGCCATGCATCAACACACAGTGGTGGCCAAAATTATTAGAAAACTAGTATTTTCACCAGCTAAAAATGGTTTTAAGTCAGTCATTTCTATCTTTTGTTGTAGTGTGTCAGTAGGAAATATCAGTTTACATTTCCAAACATTCATTTTGCCATTAATTGTAATAATCCAGTGAGATTTTTGTTTGCACAAGGAGTCTGACAACAGCCAGTGCTCCACACAGAGATCTGATCTCATCATCATCATCCAGTCTGTCTGGAATCACATGAAGAAACAGAACAAACTGAGACAAACTAAATCCAGAAGAACTGTGGCAGCATCTCCAAGATGCTTCAAGAAACCTACCTGCAAACCTACAGTACGGTTAAAAGTTTTAGGCACTTGTGTAAAAATGCTGTAAAATGATGATGCTGTCAAAAATAATGTCATAAACATTAATTTCTTTATCAGTTAACTTCTATTAACTAAATTAAATCAACATTTGCCGTGACCATCCTTAGAGTTTAAAGCAGCTTTTGCCCTAGGTGCACTTGCACATAGTTTTTCAGGTAGCTTTGCAGGTAGGTTTCTTGAAGCATTTTGGAGACGTTGCCACAGTTCTTCTGGATTTAGTCTGTCTCAGTTTGTTCTGTTTCTTCATGTCATTCCAGACAGACTGGATGATGATGATGAGATCAGATCTCTGTGTGGAGCACTGGCTGTTGTCAGACTCCTTGTGCAAACAAAGGATTTTTAAAAACAATTAATTCTTTGCTGTAGTAACAGCTTCTTATTAAACCTAAAGAGAGAGAATATATTAGACTTCATTTTTAATACAACTGTCACAAGCTGTGAAGCGTGGCTTTGCACTCTCTTCATCAGCACTCACCCTCTGCTGCCCGTGCTGGACACTCGTCTCTGCAATGTGTTCTTGTGTTTGTCCTGACCCTTCATGATGGCATCGTGTTTTTGTTTCAGCTCCATCATTTTGGTCCGGACCTCCTCATCAGTGCACACATCTACAAAATAAAAAGAATTGTGATGCCTCCAGTCAAGTTACTACTGATCAAACCTTTAGGATGTGTCATACCAAGAGGCATCTCATCCAGCTCAGACTTGGCATTTAAATTTGCACCATTAGCTACCAGCAGCTCCACCATCTGGATCTAAAAGTGAAGAAAGACAAAATGACTAAAGAATCAACATTAATTCTGCTATTAAAGTTAATGTTTTTGCCAACTAACTTCTTTATGGATTAAAGTCCATTAAATGTTTACTATTACTAAGTGTACCATTTATTACTTATTAAATGGGGCAGAAGATTTATTTAAAAAAAAAAAATTATATATAAGAGCTTATCATTCTCTCATTCTAGACAGTTGTCTATTTTGTTTTATTAACCCAAAAACTATATATGTCCCCTAGCCATCATAAACATTTCTGGTCCAATTTCCAAAATTGGAAAATAAATAAATAAATAAATAGGATGGAAAAAAATACTGTGTTAATTTCTGAGATTTATTACTGTGTTATAACCGTATATATAATTAAAGGAATTCACACAGCATTTGTTTTTTCACCTCCTAAAGTAGCTATGCAAGTGTCTTTTACCTAGTGTTACAGTATGAGACATGTATATCTGTACAACATACAGTACATCATCAATGTAACAAATTTAGTCAAAGAGCAGCTCAGCAACACCATCAATGAAGGTGGCTGCTAATGTGCTGCACAAAAATAAGACCAGTAACACGCAAGACAATACAGTCATGTGAAAAAGAAAGGACACCCTATTGAATTACATGGTTTTCTGTATCAGGACATAATAAAAAATACCTGCTCCTTGGCAGTTCCTAAAATTTGGAAAATAAAACCTCAGATGAACAACATCACATGACATATCACACAGTGTCATTATTTATTTAACAAAAATAAAGCCAATGTGGAAAAGCCATAGGTGACAAACTAAGGACACCCTATGATTCAATTGCCTGTAGATCCACTTTTAGCAGCAATAACTTAAAGTAATCATTTTCTGTATGCCTTTATCAGTCTCTCAAATCGCTCGAGGAATTTTGGCTCACTCTTCTTTACAACGTTGCTCCGGTTTATTGAGACATTTGTTTATGCACAGCTCTTTCCACAGCATTTTAGTCAGGATGAGGTACGGACTTCGACTGGACTATTGCAACACCTTGATTCTTTTATTTTCAGCCATTCTGTTGTAGATTTGCTGGTGTATTTGGGATCATTGTAGAATACTTTGGTATACAGAGGAGTTCATGGTCGACTCAATGACTGTGAGGCGCCCAGATTCTGTGGCTACAAAACAAGACCAAAATCATCAGCCCTCCACCAGCATGTGTATCTTTTGGGATGAGGTGTTTGTGCTGATATGTTCTTTAGGTTTTCACCAAATGTGGTGAACGCTGTGCATTATGGCCAAACATCTCAACTTTGGTTTCGTCTGTTCAAAAGACATTTTCCTAAGTCTTAAGGTTTGTTCAGATACAAATTTGCTAACCTAAACCATGCTTCCCTGTTCTTTTTAGGGAGAAGAGGCTTTCTTCTGGCAAGCCTTCCAAACATGCCATACTTGTCTGGTCTGTTTCTAATTGTACTGTCATGAACTTTATCATTTAACATGTTAACTGAGGCCTGTAGAGTCTGCGGTGTAATTCTTGAGTTGTCTGCAGTTTCTAAGAGTATTGTACAGTCTGAGCTTGGGGTGAATTTCCTTGGATGTCCACTCCTGTTAGGATTGGTGTCTGTTTTGAATGTCTTCCACTTTTGAATAATCTTCCTCACTGTAGAATGATGGAAATGGCCGTGTCACTCTTCCCAGATTGATGGCAGCAACAATTGTTTCTCTAAGATCATTGCTAATGTCTTAACTCCTTGGCATTGTGTTAAAGGGGTCATACGATGTTGCTAAATAGAACATTATTTTGTGTATTTGGTGTAATGAAATGTGTTTATGCAGTTCAAGGTTAAAAAAACACATTCTTTTCCACATACTGTACATTATTGTTTCTCCTCTATGCCCCGCCTTTCTGAAACGCGTCGATTTTTACAAAGCTCATCAGTCTGAAAAGCGAGGTGTGCTCTGATTGGCCAGCTATCCAGTGCATTGTGATTGGCCGAATACCTGAAGCATGTGACGGAAATGTTATGCCCCTTACCATATTGTTATACCGTGTCCCGGCCGGAGCGACGAGACAAAAACATTAAAACCCATTTTAAACGAGGCATTTAATTGTTGCTACAATACTACAGCGAGAATAAAAGTTATGCTTTCTTTCTTTGCGTGAACATTTGGGCGGTGTTATGCAAATCTTCCCACATCGTGACGTAGACATGTGGGGGCGTGTTAGAACGAGCCGTTTTAGGTAGGCGTGGTTGACTCTTAACTTTTATAAAGAATATCTCTTTGGATTTGAGACTTTAGTCTTTGCAACTTTACAGATCTTCTTTATGCACCAAGAGCTTGTAACACTACAAAGAGAAAGGAAAAATTGAAATCGCATCATATGACCCCTTTAACACAGACCTGAAGGCTCCAGACCAGCAAACTGCCAAAACTTCTGCTTTTATAGAGGAGCTCACACTTGCTCATGATCAGTTAATTAAAGGCATTTTATTAGTAGTGCTTGACCGTTACTTACCCACTTAATTCCCATGTTAACAGTAAGGATGCCCTAACGTTGTAACCCATGGCTTTTGCATACTGGCCTATTTTTTGTTAAATTAATGATGACATGTGATGATATTTCATGTGTTGTTTTCATCAGAGGTTTTATTTTCCAAATTTTAAGACCTGCCAAGGACCAGATGATTTTTTTTATTATGTCCTGATACGGAAAACCATGGAATTCAATAGGGTGTCCTTTCTTTTTCACATGACTGACTTATACAGTCTTTTTACGCGTTGCATTGCATCGCACCGCATAAACATAAAAACATGTCTGCATTTGTGATCGGAGAAATGACAAACAACAAGCGCTACTCTACACTACTCAAAACTCGCGTTTGAATCATCAGTGGCAAATCCTTTAAATATGAAAACGTACTTACAGACTGTGAGTCAGGAATATCTCTTTGGATTTGAGACTTTAGTCTTTGCAACTTTACAGATCTTCTTTATGCACCAAGAGCTTGTAACACTACAAAGAGAAAGGAAAAATTGAAATCGCATCATATGACCCCTTTAACACAGACCTGAAGGCTCCAGACCAGCAAACTGCCAAAACTTCTGCTTTTATAGAGGAGCTCACACTTGCTCATGATCAGTTAATTAAAGGCATTTTATTAGTAGTGCTTGACCGTTACTTACCCACTTAATTCCCATGTTAACAGTAAGGATGCCCTAACGTTGTAACCCATGGCTTTTGCATACTGGCCTATTTTTTGTTAAATTAATGATGACATGTGATGATATTTCATGTGTTGTTTTCATCAGAGGTTTTATTTTCCAAATTTTAAGACCTGCCAAGGACCAGATGATTTTTTTTATTATGTCCTGATACGGAAAACCATGGAATTCAATAGGGTGTCCTTTCTTTTTCACATGACTGTAAATGTGATAAATCTTTTTTCACGCACTAAACCCTCTTGTGTGTCAGTAATCACCTGTCCCCAGCAGGCAGCAGCATGGAGTGGCGTCCACCCATCAGCGTCCCTGTCGTTAGGAGATATTCTGTGCTCCAGCAACAGCTCCCCTACTGACATGTATCCATTAGCAGCTGCTACATGCAGCTACACAGAGAAAACACAAGATCTTCAGTTTTGGTAACATTATAGATGATCGTCCTGTCTACCTGCACTGCTATGTCTTACCAGAGTGGCCCCCTGCTCGTCCTTCACATTCAGATCAGCTCCACTCGCAACCAGCTCCTGAAGGTCAGACAACATTGCTCTCTCCTTGGCTCCGCGACATTCATCAATTCTCTCCTGAGTAATCCCTAAATACAAACATATGGATAATAGCAAGTGTTTGTGTCAAACCACTTATTTCCTGTATAGATTTGTATAAAAAATTTGCCCTTGACATAAATGTGTCTTTCTTTCACCTGTGTACTCAATACAGAAATAAAAAATTTTCTGAAATGTAATATTACAGCATGTAAGTCCTAGAAGTGTAATTATACAAATAAATGTATGATAGTTCTCACGGCTACATTACTTGTATTTACTTATTCACAGCAGAGTTTTTATCTGCACCTCTTTTCAGCAGCAGCGTTCCTCATGGGCTGCACGCCGAGATATGACTCTTGGGAATCGGTTCTTTATTTATTTGTTCCCACAGTCTCAGGAGTTACAGCTTTAAATCAATCTGACAAATTCTTCACTAAATCAGTGAGGAGCTACTTAATCAGCATACGACTCGCTTACTGAACTGCAAGTTCGGTAATTCATCATGTTAATGCATCATGAGTAAAGCTAATGCACCATTACTTTAATTTAGCCATTAAAGGCCTGGTTTCACAGACAGGGCTTAGACTAAACCAGGATTAGGCCATAGTTCAATTAGGACATTTAAGTCATTTTCATAAACATGCCTTAGAAAAAAACATTACTGGTGTGCATCTTGAGACATAATAAAGGCATTGACAAAGATCAATCAGTGCAAGTTTTTCAGTTGAAACAAATAAGACTTACATTTTAGTCTGGGATTGGGCTTAAGACTTGTATGTGAAACCGGGGGAAAGTTTTTTATTTGCTGTGTCATCAAGAAAATATACTGTTTTCATATCTGTAGACATCACAGTCTTTGTTCATGGCTATCCTCATTTTTATACAGAGGTGCACAATATATCAGCGGCTGATATATTATTGGCCGATAAGTCGGAAATGTAATTATTAATATTTCTGTGATACTGGAATATTGGATTTTCTGCCAACATTTTCACTGATAATTAGTTCTGATATCTTGGCATCCTTGTTAAGACTAAAATACACTACGGCCATAGTTCAATTAGGACATTTAAGTCATTTTCATAAACATGCCTTAGAAAAAAACATTACTGGTGTGCATCTTGAGACATAATAAAGGCATTGACAAAGATCAATCAGTGCAAGTTTTTCAGTTGAAACAAATAAGACTTACATTTTAGTCTGGGATTGGGCTTAAGACTTGTATGTGAAACCGGGGGAAAGTTTTTTATTTGCTGTGTCATCAAGAAAATATACTGTTTTCATATCTGTAGACATCACAGTCTTTGTTCATGGCTATCCTCATTTTTATACAGAGGTGCACAATATATCAGCGGCTGATATATTATTGGCCGATAAGTCGGAAATGTAATTATTAATATTTCTGTGATACTGGAATATTGGATTTTCTGCCAACATTTTCACTGATAATTAGTTCTGATATCTTGGCATCCTTGTTAAGACTAAAATACACTACAAGACTTTTAAAACAAGATTTTAAATCACTAGGCATCATATACTTGCCAACTTTGTTTCAAGGAAAAACTGGGCATCATTCACTGAACTAAAATTGAAAAAAAAAAAAAGTTTAATATCCTCCGACTAAATGGAATCATAGTCTAGAGCCAAAAAAAAAAAAAGAATAAGATCAGATATATATTTTAGTAAATATATAGAATTTTAAATGTTCTGATACTTGGTTAAAAATAATGGTTCTGAAACTAATGTACTTGTTTTATTACTAGAGATTTGTGTTAGTATTGCGCATGCTGTTGGTTTATGTTCATTACATGCTGTACATTTTGGTTATTCTTTCAGTCGCATTACGGTTTAATTCACTGTTATTCTTCTCAGTTAAGTGTTATAATTTGTCAAGATAACCATACATAATAATATAAATGGACAGAATAAAATTATGCTAGCATATATTTTTAAATAAACATAACATCTGTAACATAGTCTCACTGATTCAGTCATTTTTAGTTCAATAGATAGTAGTATAATAGTTTTCATTTCACTTTAGTCAAATTAAATAAAAGTTAGTTTAGTCAAACTAACTAAATTATAGGGAGGGAGCCCTTTTATATAAGCTTACAATTAACAACAGAGCCCAAAATTCACTTAATATTTATTTTTAACTATAATAATCAACACTCAGATTAAAAGATTTTATGCAAACATGTAAATTGCACATAATGCAGTTTTTAAATTAACTTCTAAATGATACAATTTCTATTTGTTGTTGAAATAGGCTATAAATCATTTACACAGTGGCTGTCATACCTTGTTTCATAAAAGACTTATTTAAACATACATTAAATAATTAAGACATCACTAACAGGTAGCCTAAAGTAAAATATAATGAAGTATATAGTCTAATATTTCTCAAAATGCTCTTCTCTAAACTGAATTTCTGTAGCAAATAACGAGCTGTAGATACTGATGACTTGCCTGAGGTAAATTAAATGCTACATGACATTTTGTTTACGAGCTGTTTTTTGACATCTTTCCGCAATTGAAACACTAATTGAGCGATTACATGAGAAGTTCATTCATGCTTATTTCACATTAAAACTAGTTGTAAAGATGAAGGGTTTATCGTGCTCACTCGCACAGCAATCTGTCTCGCCACAACAAAGAGCGTCAAAACGGCATTTATTGTCTGAATTTTCAGAAAAAAATTGAATGTTTTGTTCAGTACACATGCGTACCGAACCGAAAGACCGTACCTAAAATTTTCAGTACGAATACGTGTACCCCTACTGGTTACACAGTGAAACTAGGTGTGCCCAACGTAATAATGACAACAAAAAAAAATGTAAAAAGGTATTTTAAAATGAAAAAGAGAGAAGCCCTGCTCTAGAGAATTAGTCTAGTGTACTAACATGCTCCTTAAAAGCAAATATAACACAGAAGTATCTTATGAATTACTGTCCATAAAAAGACAAGTTACTGTTTGTCAGGAGCATTGAAATAATGTATCTTTTAAAAGCAACTTTCCTCAGCACTGCTCATAAGTGGTTTGATTAACTAAATAGTAGGTATATTATAAGCAACTCTCACCCTGCTCTGCCATGATCATCTCTATGAGCTCTAGCGTAGCCTCATCCTCACACAGATCATATGGCATGTTTCCATCTGCATTCACCGCCAACAAATCTGCACCCCTGAACACATGAACTCAGACAGTCTGTATCACAAGTTACACACTATTTATACAGCAATAAAAGTTTATATAAAAGTTTATGTATTTATACAAGAATAAAAGTTGTGTATGACAAAGCAGTAAGATCAGCACAATAAATAAATTATAAATTGAGACTCACGCTTCTATCAGCAGCTGGACGAGGTCAGTGTGTCCGCAGGTGGCCGCCGCATGTAAAGGGGTCCACAGCTCACTGTCACACGCATTCACGTTTGCACCCGCATCCAGAAGACAGCGTGCTATATCCAAAAAATCATCTATGCAGCTCTGCAGAGAACCACAAGAGCTATCTGAATTACTGTCTGTGGAGAACATGATTCAAAAGTAGGGATGTGACAAGATGATCAACTAATCGAATGGTCATCCAACAACAAACTAACTGACTGAGTAGTCTACCAATATAATCGTGTGCTGTATTTTAGTTTAGCTAACAGAAAACAAAGTGAAACCCTTTTGAAATAGTTTAGCTTAGTTTTTTAGCTCATTGACAGCACTGCCATTATGGGAGTACTGTGATATTGAGGTACGTCTATTGAGGACTACACTTCAGAGAGTTCTGATTTTGTGTATTTATGTTTACAACATGAAACAGATTAAAATGAGCTGATGTTTTGCATCCTGTATTTGTATAGTTTTTGTTGATGAGCATGTACCTGATGAAGTGCAGTGAGCCCGTCCTCGTTGAACAAGTCTGGACTGACTCCATTATTGAGCAACTGTCGTACTGCCAGGAGACACAAATACTTTTTTGGTCACCAAAACTATACACTATTAACATTTTGGACAAACTATGACATTAAAGGGATCATTTGCCTTAAAAAATTAAAATTCTGTCATCACTGTCAACACCCTAATGTTGACAGAATTGTCACTTTCTGTCCTCTGTGAACCACAAAGAAAGTTTTGTAAAATGTCTCAGTTGTGACTTGTCTATACAATTAAAGTCAAAAGGGCCCAAGGTTGTTTGGATCCAATGTTCTAAATGTTCTGCAGAAGAAAATGTCTTACAGAAATGACATGATGGTGAGTAAATTATGATTTTTAAAACTATACCTTCAGTCTCTGTTAAAACTACAAGAACGTCAGCACTGAGGTGCAGTTTAGAGTGAAGAGTTATCACAATCAACATGTTTTCATTTATTATTTCTGTGTACTTTATCTACAACTAGCAATGCCTAGTCTTTATTTGAGAATATATGATACTAAGTACACTGTTGGATAAAGTATTTACTTGCTTGTTGTTCTAAACAAAAACATTGTTTCAAACAATTTCTTTATTCCTGGAAATGCCATAATAGGATTACAGAATCAAGAAGTTATCTAAAATATAAATCTGTTTATTTTACAGTTTAAGTTTAATTTGCTTTTGCTTTAGAAATGTAATTTATAATTTGTTTACAATTATTTCAGTAAATATAATGTGAAATATATAATGCTAAGATGCAAAAAAAAGATGATTCTACAAAATGGCAATAATGTTAGCTATCAATGAACAGTTAATATTTCTTAATTCACTTATGAATAACCAGGCCAATATGCATCAGTTTATGTGGTACAAATTTAAAGGTACAGTTTTCATATCTGTATATATGAATTCTTAAACAGAGGGTACAGATTACAAATCTACAAATACAGATTGATAAATTGAAGGTATAGTTTATGAATCTGTGGTGAAATTATTAAAATGAGAGAGCGATGTACAAATTTGTCAATATGGTTTATAAAGTATATGAGAGTATATGGGCACAGATTATTGGAATTATTGGCCCTACAAAAACTTTTAAAATTTTTATAGCCTACCTATCAACCTCTGTAAAAAATACAATAGGATTTTATTTTTGTTAAAGTATGTAGTCTTGATTTCCAGAGTAAAAAGGCACAAGGTAATTGGGTAATCACAGTGTAAGCAAATCACAACAGAGGGAATTTGCATGAAAGGTAGAGTTGCAAAAAACTGCTTTCAATATCACATTAAAGGTGGATCTTGGATTATTTTATTCATTTAAAAAACCTGAAGTTTTAACAGGGGTGTGTGGACTTTCTACAGTCATTGCAATAAACAAAACAGATGTGCAATACTGTTAGTCCTTTACTCTTACCCTCTTCTATGTCATTCCTGGCTGCAGCTTCCAGCAACGTCACACTGGTGTTGAAGGTCACCCTTCTGCTTTCCTTTAACCCATCTCCCTTGTGGTTGCCCTTTTGGCTGTCCTTCTCCATCTGAGCCCAGCCTTTCAGCTGCTGCGCCCGTCTCTTCTGTGCATGCTTCAGGCGCTCGGTGGCTGAAAGGCGGCCGATAGTCGCCATCTCTGCTAGCAGCTCAGCATGCTCTGCCATATCTTCCAAGTCAAGACTCTCAATGCCTTCACAATTCCTTCTGACACCACAAAGACTGTGGCTTCTGCTTGGATCTTCTGCTGTCTCCTCTCATAGGCATTCAACTCTTTCACACTTTCAATTCTGACATCCAAACGTCCGATGAGAGCTGCAAACAAACTGGAGATCCAATGGGATAATGTAGAGACGTAGATGACTGCCAATGACAGATCATATTCTTAATAACTTTTTCAGTATAGACCAGGAAGACAAGTTCTGCAAAGAAAGAGTGCAAAGTTCTCATGTCTTGCTTTGAATACAGTAAAACTACAGTATGAAAAACGGATGAATATTCTTTTTGAATTGTGTTATAGATAACATTATACAGTTTGAATGAGAAAATATTAGGCACTCATAATAATAGAGGGGAGCTCTGGGATGATCTCAAATCTCAGAATTATAATCAACAGATCTGAATGATTTATATAAGAGTTTATGTGTGAAACAGACAACAGGCAGCTCTCTGAAACAGAGTTTACTGCACATTTCCAAGCAACACTTAAATAATCGAACATAAATTGTCCATATGCAGTTTCTGAAGCTGGCCCAAATCCTTAAAAAACTTAAAATAACTAATGCAGTGCATTAAAGCAGTGTTTCCCAACCGGGGTGCCGTCTGTCGAGAGCAGGGGTGCAGAGTAAAAAAATGTTCAAAAAAGCATCTATTTATATAATATACATTTCTGATGTCACCAATAATTAGAGATGCACCGAAATTTCGGCTGCTGAAAATGAGTTCACCGCTCAGGTTTCACTTTCACGTGGTGTGACGCTCTGCGTATTATTCTGCTCTATGCATGTGCACTCCGCTCAGTCGCTCCACTCGTATACCGTGTGGACACTCGTATACTTTTCCAAACAAAAGAGAATATTTTTAACAACTTTGGTATCCAGACAGCTGCTGGTCCCCACTGACCTCCATAGAATTTTTTTCAATACTATGGAAGTGAATAGGGGCCAGCAACTGTTTTGTTATCCACAATCTTCGAAATATTGTCTATTCAAAAGAAGAAACAAACTCCTACAGGTTTGGAACAACTTGAGGCTAAGTAAATGATGACAGAATTTTCATTTTGGGGTGAACTATCCCTTTAAGAATCTGGGCATTAGACACCATAAAACCCAGAGAATATAAACTTGGTAGGGTGGCCTATTATACATAAAATAATTTAATTTTAAAATGTTAAAAAACAAAACAAAACAAACAAACAAAAAAACTCAATTTTCCTGGCTCTTCCAATGGCATTTGACAGATTAAAATAATTTTGATTAGTCAATCCATTGAAGAGATATAAGTCAGTTACATTTTTGGGGATTGGCTTGAAATAACTAATTGACTTACTGCACATCTAAGTTCACACTTAAGCTGACAGAAGCAGACAACAGGACTTTATACAGATCAAATTACGTCATCATAATTTGTCACAGAGCCAAACAATATTCACTCACAAGGTACAATACTAGGTTTTTAGAAAGCTAGTCTAGGAAACAAGCTAAAGCAGAGGTGAAATGCAAAGGAGAGGAAAATGTGTGTGTGTGTAAGTGCTGTTGAATTTGCAAGTTGTCTTAAAGTGGTGCTTAAAGGGGTCATATGATGTTGCTAAAAAGAACATTATTTTGTGTATTTGGTGTAATGAAATGTGTTTATGCTGTTTAAGGTTCAAAAAACACATTATTTTCCACATACTGTACATTATTGTTTCTCCTATATGCCCCGCCAGCCTAGAGTGAGCGGAGGCCAGCGGCTAGAGTGAGTGGCGGCCGACGGATTCGACAAAGGAGCGGCCGGCGGGCTTGCGACAACCACATGTGACGACCACGGGCTGGACTCCGCTTCGTCCACGGTTGTAACACTTCAAAGAGAAAGGAAAAATTTAAATCGCATCATATGACCCCTTTAAGCACCTGCCATTTTTTGGCCTCTGTCTATGGAGCCTAATGCTCTTTTTGCAATACTTTTCCCCCTTTTTAATTTTATAATTTATTTTATTAAATTTAGCCCATAGCATAAATTCTCAATCAAGCGTGTTACCAAAAACTCCATTTAAGTTCTAATCTGTGAGGCTGTGCGAGCCCCTGACCCTCAACATCTCTAGTCACAGCCACCACAGGTAACACAAACATAAGCAAATCAAGAGCCCTGCGGAGCAGCATCTCTCTCTCTCTCTCTCTCCCTGACCTGCCTTCACTGGTGACAGCCAGGTAACTACTGTGTTTGCCCTAAGATCCAGCACTGCTTGTCACTGTTGTGAAATCAAACCACTTTTAAAACATCTCAATACATGCCATACTAACTTAGGAAATTGCCCTTCATTAAGCATAAAAGTGACAGTTCACTCAAAAATAATAATTCTATTATCATTTACTCATCCTCAAGTTGTTCTTCTGTTGAGCACAAAAGGAGATGTTGGTAACCAAACAGTTGACTGTAGCCATTGACTTTCACAGTATGGAAAAAACATTAAAAAAATCACATCAACTGTTCGATTACCAATATTATTCAAAATATCTTCTTTTTGTGTTCAACAGAAGAAAGAAACTAAGCAGTCTGCCATCAAAATTAATAAAAATGTCCTCAAGGACAGGCCAGACAACTAGCTGTCCTGTGCAGTTCCATTCATACAGTGTGGGTTTTTCAGAACTAATGTATTCTGCCATTAGTTACTGTGAATAGTGTTGAGTATGATTTGCTTCAATGGCTACTGAACATAAAGAGAGACGCATCAACGCATTCCATGCAATTAGCACCCAAATGTAAACTCACAAAGCTTGAAACATTTGTATTTGTACCAAATGAGAGAGGTAAGCCCATAAAAGTGGATAAAGCCATATGCATGCTTTCTATTCTGTTTTCCGATCATGTCACCTGATTTCCCACAAATTGAACCATAGATATTGCAGGAGTTACTCCACTGGACTACACACGGAATCTTTTGTTTGTCATCCCAAATCTTCACTCATGTCTCAAAAAGAATGACAATTTTTTATTATTCTTTTTTTTAAATTCGGCAAATCATGAAAAATGTTAGACACTTGTTCATGAGTCAGACACAAACCACTGGTCACACTATGTGTTCATACTGAAATCTCTTCTCTCATAGTTTTAGTGTTTATCTCTCCCTACCTCTCCATTTAGTTGTAACACAATTTGTGCTTGATGGGCAAGGTAAAGCACATGAAGTTTTCATTTTTAAATATGGCATCTCATTCACCACTATGACGTGCAATATAGCATCTCAAAATGCGCAACCCTCAAAATGTCAAACCCTGAGGCAAATATGAAAAATGACTAAAACAGGGGTGTCAAACTCAATTCCTGGAGGGCCGGAGCCCTGCAGAGTTTTGTTCCAACCCTGCTCCAACACACATGCCATGTAGTTTTCAAATAAGCCTGAAGGACTTGATTAGTTGGATCAGGTGTGTTTAATTAGGGTTGAATCTAAACTCTGCAGGGCTCTGGCCCTCCAGGAATTGAGTTTGACATCCCTGGACTAAAGGAAGCTTCCCACATCTGTGTTGACATCTGCTAACTGTATCAACATCACCAGTAGCTTCTATTCTTTCAAATATATATTTTTTTATATATTTATTATTCTCCACTAAAAATGATTGTGCAGCCCAAACTGTAAGGCCTACAGACATTAAAGAGGTCATATGATGCGATTTCAAGTTTTCCTTTCTCTTTGGAGTGTTATAAGCTGATTGTGCATAGATAAGATCCCTGAAGTTGCCAAATGGGATGGCATTACTATTGGCCGCTACTGAAACTCATTTAGCAAACAACTATCATAGTACTCAAATGGTTCAGGTCATACTTAAAAAGAAGGGATTACTTTGTGAGCATAGTCAACCAACCATAAGTTTAAGCGGATATCCATGATATGCAGAGTCCTGCATATAGTCACATATTATATAGCAAAATAATGAGAAATAACCAAATTGCTTACCATAGCTATGCAAATGACACCCATATCTACTTCCACCTATCGCATAATGACTACCATTGATTCCTAATAGTTATATGGGCAAAGGTATGTTTTAAAAAAATGACAATGGGTTGGCTATCATGTTATGCATGCAAATAAAAAGCAGTGGAAACCCATTTTCATCAAAGTAGAAAAAAAAGATAATTGTGACTATTTCTCACAATTCTAACATCACAAATGCGAGTTTACATCTCAAAATGACAGAAAAAAGTTGTGTGACAGTCACTTTTTTTAATCCACTGTACTGGAAACAGTAACCCTGAACTATTTTGCTTCAAGAATAATTACTATCAACTATTACTATAGAACTGTTTAACTCAGTACAGTCTTGCCCAGAAAATGGATTGAGATATTGTCACAAAATTTGATACCCATTCTTTTGTTATCTATTCAATGGGCCTCATTTACGAAACAAACGTACGACAGAAAATTGGGCATACGGTCTTTCAACGCAAAACTTGGAATTTATCAATATGGACGTGAGCGGTAGCTACGATCAAATCTCACGTCTGGTCTCAGCTCGTGTACGCAAGTTTTTGAGTTACCTGAACTTGCGCGCAGCAGAGTAAATACGGTGGAGAATTGTAGAATGACAGCATTTTGTTAATTTTTATATTCCTGACCGTCAAACAAAGCTCATTAGTCAATCGTTAACCAGTAAGATTAGAATGTCTTTTTTTGTTGTTGTTTTGTACAGGGCTTTAGCTTTATATGCGCGAATAGCAGCGTAAACAAGACCATGAGGATTCAATCGTCGCATCATGCACCTGCAGCGCTTCTGTGAAAGGAGAAAAACACAAATTAAGTCTATAAAGGAATCTATAAAGAAAAAGTCTATAAATAGGATCACACAAAATATATAATAGGCTATAATAGAATTAAAAGATTAACAAGTACAGGGCTTTAGCTTTATATGCGCGAATAGCAGCGTAAACAAGACCATGAGGATTCAATCGTCGCATCATGCACCTGCAGCGCTTCTGTGAAAGGAGAAAAACACAAATTAAGTCTATAAAGGAATCTATAAAGAAAAAGTCTATAAATAGGATCACACAAAATATATAATAGGCTATAATATAATTAACAGATTAACAAAAGGGAAAAAAAAACACTGTGCAACAAGTATAGGCTACGCTCGTTTTTGTGACACTCTTAATGCATTTTATTTCTTTATATCTTTAGATTAAATCCATCTGATCGCACAGGCGCCTCACGCACACACAAACAACA